AAAACAGTTTAATATAAGCATTTTTATTTCTAAAAGTATATTTAAAAATAACCACTTTTACATAATAATTTATCAGTCATCTTATTCATGTTTTTCCATTAATGTGACATTTTATTTTAATAAATTATTTACTAATTAGAATTATTCGCATTTAGTTTATTGATAAACACATGATTACATTACATAGATTCAAGATTTCAAAGACATTCATATAGTACCGTATCTTTCATTCACATGTATTTTTAAAATTTTTAATAAAATAAATAGTAAAAATGGCATTTATTTATTGAAAATTAAAAAAATCAAATATATTAATAATTTCATATATTAATTTCAGTTACCATTTATTGCAATATCATAATTTAATAAGTAAGTTTTACCCTATTTCTTGTGGTTAATCTTAAACAGACTATAGGTCACCTGTAATAAATTTCTTTTGTTCTCTCCCTCCCTTTACCTGTACACCATTCACACCTAGCCAAAACCAGTCACCTGCAACATTTTTTAGAATTTTGGCTACGTGGGAGGACACCATTTGTTTTTTGTTGTATATTTGATAGGTCTTTTTTTTAAACTGATAAAATTGTTCTTTCCTATTTTTAGGGATTCATCATATGATTGCCAGGAGCCAAAGGAGACAGCAAGAAAATTGCCTTGCTTTAGCTGTTTTACTGCTGTGTTTTCTTTCTTACATGGTATATTTTGGTTATGTGATTATGTGATTTATCTACTTGTAGGTTCTTTTTTCAATAAATATTTATTTCGAAATATCGATATTAATCTTAATTATTTCAGCAGTACAAAAATTGCAACTTGAACAATTCCTTAAAAAATTGTATAATTGCTACATATAAGGAAGGTTTTTTCTTTCTTTTTTTATTAATATCTAATTTGTGTTTATAAATCAAAACGTTTTTATGCTACACTAAATAAAAGTTACAAAAAGAATATACTTTTAAATTTGAAATAAGAACATTTCATTTTCAAATTCAAAGTAAAGAATTAATTCTTATTCATTTCTTTATTAATAATATTTTTTCATTAAAATAACTCCCTCCAAAATAATATAAAATTAGAATACATATCTATTCAAATTTGTTTATGGAAGAATATAAATCGCAAAAATATATATATATATATTTTGTGGTTTTAGTCATAGGTTCTTTATAAAACGGTCACAGGTCAAGCCTGAAACAGTTATGACTCTTATATGTTTTATAGGGTGAAAGTAGCAGAAATTGCCCACAGTCAAAAATGACGGTCCAATACGTAAAACGTTGTCCAGGAACACGGAATGAGTGGATGGATGCAGCCGTGAGAAAGAATTGCACAAGCATTTCTCAAGATTGCGTTTAACCAGAACACTTTCAATACCATTGTGTGATTAATTCACTCATGAATGCAACAATGGAAGTGTGTATACCAATTTGGTTTTGTATAGGTATGACCTCATATATTTACAATAACCTACTGAATTATTTCATTTTAAGGGGGATTTCTATAAATTTATTTATATTCTATGTAAGTTTGGTCTTTGGACAGGATTTTGTGCAGAATACAACCTACAAGGAGAAAGAATTCAGGACAATTTCAATGCACCATGTACAACATTCTCAAAACCATGCCCTCCAAGATATCTGTCTTCTGATGCATATTTATGTAAGCTATTGGACGCATGTGTTTATGCGCCCGGGTTGATAGATCAGATGCGTAAATTGTTTTTGTCCTGTCTGTCTGTTCGTCTGTTTATATGTATGTCTGTTTGTTGTCAATTTTAATCTTCGCTATGACTTTTGAACCGTGCGAGAAAAGAAACTTCATATTTGTTATGCATACCCACTAGTAAAACCCTTTCAAACAACACTAAGTCACAATGACTTAGTGACCTTGACTGTGACCTTTGTCCTAAAATAACTTTTTTTTAAACTTTGTTGCCACTGGGCGCATTGTGTTTCACAAACACATCTTGTTATTACTCAGAACAGACTAGCATAACTTTCTTAGAGTTTTGGTGCTTAAAATGTTAATAAAATGTGAGCCATTGGCATTTTGTACCGTTCAAAAACGTTTGTTAAAGATTAATGTTTTTTTTCGTCAAGAAATCATTCCTACTATTGTTAAATGCTATTTACATGAATGAATCCCCTATACTTATTCATGAAATGAAATGAAAGCAGTCCTTAAACGTTTTATATATGACCAAATAGAGTCCCTGAAACGTTCTTCTTTCCCATTTTTCCGTTCGCTCACCGTTCGTTCAGCGTTCGTTCACCGTTCGTTCAGCGTGCGTTCACCGTTCGCTTTTCGTTCACAGTATTGCGTTCACCGTTCACCGTGCGCTCGCGTTCACCGTTCACAAAACGTTCACCGTTCGCTCTTCGTTCCGTTTACTTTGCGTTCACCTTGCGTTCACCGTTCACTTATCGTTCAGTCTTCATTGTCATTCGGAACTCCGAAGTGAAAGGACTTATCTTTTTGATGGTAAGGATTTACATAGTTTTCAATTAAATAACTTAGATATCGTGTTTAAAGAATAATTATTTCATTGCAAAAATTATCCATGATATTTATATTTCTATAATTATAACTCAGCTGTTACTTATTTCATGAATTTTCCATGGAAAATAATTAATACATTAAGTACCCACATGTATGTAGAACGATGCTAAAATATAAACTTCAAAAAAGGGCAATGTACAAATGCTTCACGCACGGCATCAATTTGATGTAATTTTAAGAGGACAAATTATATTTATGGATGTATAATAATTAATCCAAGTCTTTTACAGGACAAGAATACATTAAAAAAATTATTTCTATAGTAACACATATTTAAACAACATGTAGATTTGAGAATCATGAACAGTACTGCAAATATTCAGTTAATTAAATATATTTAGAGCTAATTAAGTTGATGGTGTGGTTTTAAATTTTAGAAATGCCCAACTGTTTAAAATAGTCTATTATTAGAGAAGAAAAATTCCTTCCTTCTCCGTACCTAAACATGATTAAAAAATATCTTTTTGCTATTCAGTATAATTACCCCCCCCCCCCCCCCCCGGTGCCTTTTCTCCCAAAATAAAATTCTTATTGAGTTTTTTCAGTATATTTTAATTAATATTTAATTTTTATTGTAACACAAGAAAATCAGTCCTAAAACCAACATCAAACAGTCATTAAACAATAGTATTTTAGTATAAACTTGTGCCGACAGTATTTTAAATTGGCAGGAATAGGTTTCCCATTCAGTTTAAAACTTAATCCTTCCAAGTATATATTCGAATTATTTTTTTTTTCTGCAGGAACGCAAAAATCAGATCTAGAAATGATACGGAAAAATATTAAAATTTCTTGGAATACTAAGTGACTCCTTGCCTTCGGCATGTTCGGTAAAACGCGATTTCCACACAGGTCCACTGTGTCGAATTATTTTGATTGACAGCATTCAAGCACGCTATTACAAATATAGCACGGACTTCCTTGAACTTTATCTGGATGAAAATAAAAGCAAATTACCATGGATTCAACACCTATTACTTGGAATATTTATAATTGTATTTTTATTTACTATATAAGTACTATTTCTCTGTTCATAAAAATTATGACAGCACATTACTTGTTTATTTTTTAATCTACACGTATTACAAATAATTTGAATGCCTAACAAATAATCACGGCCAGGATATGACAGATACATGAAGAAGTTAAAAATAATCGTCATAAAAGAATAAAAAGGCACATAAAATAGAATATTTTGCAGTAGAATTTAAATAAAACGAGAATTTTTATGCAGTACGATAACAGTGCAACAGATAATTGTGAAATGTTTTTACTCAGAATTATACTTTATTAATTGTAATTCATTCATTCTATAAGTAGCAGTTTTATCTTATTTATTTTATTAGTGAAAAGAATAAGCATAATTATTTACTATATAAGTTTTTTATCTTTTTAGTACACGCGGTAACAGTCCACATTATTTATCGATTTAAACATATAGGTATGTGCAGAAAAAATGTTTTTATTTATTTATTTATTTATTTATCTATTGTTTATCTAAGTAGTTTTATCTTCTAAAGTCCAAATTTTTTTTTAAAAGAATAAGCATAATTATTTACGCGGTAACAAACTACACAAGCGGCGATTAACATCATGTTATACAATATCGATTTAAACATACGTATGTGTAGAATTTTTATTATTATTATTTATTTATTTATCCATCTATTTATTTCTCTTTTGTTTATCTATTGTGTATTTATATTTATTTTTGACATTTAAATAATAGAATAAAAGAATAATTTCAATACAAGGAAAAGACCGAAGGCATTCCGAATAAATCGTTCATCTTGCGTTCACCGTTCGTTCACCGTTCACTTTGCGCTCGCGTTCGCGCTCGTTCGCGTTCTGCGTTCACTCACCGTTCACCGTTCACACATCGTTCAGCAAGTTGCGTTCACCGTTTTTCGCATCGTTCACTCACCGTTGGCTCTCGCAGCGTTCGTTCACCGTTCGTTCACCGTTCGTTCAGCGTTCGTTCACCGTTCAGGTGGGAAAGTAGAACGTTTCAGGGACTGTACTCGTCTACAGACAAATTCGTATATTTTTCAAGTGAGAGGGAATCGTCATTCATGGGCTTTTTAACACGTCCCAAAATATAGATATATATTGATAGAATTATTACAGGAATTTTTTTTTTATACTTTTGGTATATTTTATTTGTCTTACAATACCTAACTTTCAGATCAAGAATGTTACAGATTAGTAGAGATTCAGAAGAAGAAATCGGTTTTTGTTGTTACTACAGAAGATAATGGGTATGATATTTATTATTCCAACATCGCATTTGCTTTGTTAGTTAAACTGATTTGTTTATTGGTAATTTTAGAATGTGTAAATGATGTCCAAGAGGAGTAATTAAAAACGCAAATGAAATGAATACATTTATTTCGATTCCAGGTTGAAATTGACAACCGTAAAAATAAAAAAAAAAACACTATCGAAGATAGTGAAAACAATAACCACTAACGATATATATCTTTTGTTTAAGAATCTTTCTCGACAATATTTGCTTAAATCTGTATTATTGATTTCTTTTTCAGCATCAGACAGGATGTACCAAACAATGGAACAGAAACCATCATTATTGTGTCAATACTTTGCACTATTGCTGCTCTGTTATCAATGCTTGCGGTGATATTGTACAGAAGACAACGTGGTATGTATTCACTTAAAAGCTGCAATTGCTTTCATTTTTCCACTTATTGATTTCAAATTGTTTTGATGCCAGTTGCAACATGTATTTTATAAAAATATTTTACTTTTTTTATTTGATATATTCGTTGGTCACAAATTAAAATAAAGAAAGTATATTTTAGAAAGAAGATCAAACAATGTGAGGACTCATGATGAGGAAATTGAAGATGATGACCTGATGATATCTGAAACAAATAATATATGATATTTACTTTAGATCTCTCTCTCTCTTCATATTTATGTGATATTTGCTTCCAAATATTTCCCTACTTTTAATGACACGTTTTTTCTGTATAAAACTATTGTTCATCAATCTACAATACAATATTCCAAATGTATATTTTCATGCTGTTATTCAAATTAATTATGAATGTAAAAAAATATTTCAAAAGAATTATCAGCATGCAGTATCAGCAAAAAACTCTAAACACAGAAAAAGATAAATATTAACATAAAATATTTCTAAACAATAAAAAGTTGATTGATGAGTTCTTATAAACGCATAGTCAATTGAATGATCACTTGATATTAGATTTGTTCGACTTTTCATCAAATGGTTTTTGATTGGTTATTTTTATTTTTGCTGTTTGGACAAATTAGCTTTTTTCCCTGATAGTTTGATTAGGTTATTTGCAATTTTAGGAGGGGGTTGGGTAATAGTGTTTAATTTCTTGGTACATGTCAAATATAGTGTTTTTCAATTAAAGACGGAAATCATTTCTTCCTTAAAAATGTACAAAAGTGTTTTAGCCATACGAGTATGTTTATATCAACAAATGATATTATTTCCAAGTAAAGTTTAAAATATGATACTGTGTATTATATATTGTTTAATTTTTGCAATCGAAATTCGGCATGCAAACACGTTTCGTAGATGTAATGGCCAAGGGAGAGTATCGTAAATGTTAAAAGACTATTTTTTGCATATAAATTTTGAAAAAAAACATATGGAAGTGGATACGCGGAGCACGAAATAAATATTATTTTTTAATTTCTTAGTTTTAATTACCTTAAATTTTGTATTATGGTTAAAGAAAGAGTTTTTCGAAGTAAAATTCTTGACAAAAAAAAATAAGGAAGGAAGTATATACAGTCAAACCTGTTTTAAGAGGCCACCTTTGGGAAGTCTGGAAACTGACCACTTAAGACAGGTGGCCTCTTATTCCAGTTTGCCCTCGAAATAGCGAGTCGGTCAATAATCATCATTAAGCACTACACTTAAATTAATTAATCAGAAAATTAAACAGGTAAATATTTTGAGGTGTATATATCTTAATTTATGCTAAAAAAAATGAATTAAATAATTCCAAATTGTTACTTGGTTCGTGCATGTTTCTGTTCCTACATATCAGTTAAACGTCATGATTTTTTACACTCTTTTAATAAGAATTTGAAGATTGAAATACATGTGCTTTACTATTATCTCTTTTTTTTGTTTAAAAAAATAACACACATTTAAATAAAAAGACAGTTTCGTTGTAAATAAAATAAAGTCTAGAAATCCATTTAAGTTAGTTCAAGTAATGTTCAGCAGCGTAACCCCCTCCATTCAATTAATTGGCGATTACCTTACTTGCTGGAGTTTTTAAAGTCTGGTCTTTGTTTTTATATAAAGCTGTCAGAATTTTTATGTAATATAGATAGACACACAAATAAGATTAACCAGTTGACCACAGAGGTGTATTTACGCAGTTGAAAATCATTCTACAGCACAGGTGTCCTGTGCAGTAGAGCGTAACTAATCCCTATCCATCGTCTCTTGATAGTGAAATTCACGAGATAATCATGCACCTTGTTTTCACAAGAATAGCAATTAGGGTTTCTACATGGAATCAAAATTTAAAAGGTGTGAAAATATCGATAGCCCTTTATTAGGTCACATACTCTCAGAAAATATTTAAGGTAATGATGAATTAATATTGAAAAGTACAAAATCTAGTAGAAGTATTAGCTTTAAGATTGAATTTCTTTAGCTCTGGAAAAATATTAATTGTAATTCAATTCTTTTGAACTTTCATCTTAAATTTTTCATTACACAAACAAAGTTCAGCGTATCTAGAAGTAATTTGTTTATTTAATTGCTTTAAATTGACTATCGAGCATATAATTACCCAAGCGAATGTGTTAAAAAGGCGTGATAGAATTGCAACAAGTGTCCATATGGCTGTGGGTGATGATTTGAGTGGCCGCTGGCCGCGTTACACAGGTGGCCATTTATTCCAGTTAAAATATATAGTAAAAGTCGTCGGGGGGAACTGAAAGTGGCCGCTGACCGCGAGTGGCCTTTGATTACGGATGGCCGCTAAGACAAGTTCGACTGTATATAGGTACACCAAATTCATATTCTTCAATTACTAATTTTTTATTACTGCAGTTTTTGTACGACGATGAAAGGACTTGTTTTTGGTAAATAGATTTCAAGAAAATTTTGAAGGAGTTATAAATGCAATAAATTAATATTTTTAATTACTTTAATATTTATCATGTTTAATTATTATTTTGATTTCTTCCTTGTTACCTTTTTTTCAATTTTATAAAGTTTCTCCTTTCAAAATTCATTTTGTAATTTTGAGCAGTTTTTAAAGTTATCCTCATTCGAAAGTCTTTAAACACGTTAAATTAAAAAAAAAAGAGGACATAAAAGGGGTGGACAATCTCCTGCTCTGAGACAATATGTTTTTCTAAAATCATGTCCTCAGTAATGTCATCTTCAAAACATTTTATTATTTTATTTTACTGAACAACTTATCATTTGAATGAATGGGTCAAGTCTGGGGCTGGGTATTGGACTGAGATTTCGTATTGCGATATATTGCGATATTTTTAACTGTATTGCGATATGTATTGCAATATTTTCAATGTAATAAAAATGACATTTTCTTACTATATTTACTTTAATTTACATGCAGAATGTACATAACTATGATAAGTAACCAACACAGAATAAAAATCTTGTTGAAATTATTTAAGTTATGCTCTGAAATGTTCCCACAAACAACTTCTGACTTACAGTTTGGTTTAATAACAAACTTTTTTAAGTCCATTTTCATATTTAATGACAAAATTCCTTAATCTAAGCATATTGCCAATGTATCGATATTACAAAATCGTATTGCGATACGATATTTTTTGTCATTGTATTGCAATATATTGAAATATCGATATTATTGCCCAGCCCTAGTCAAGTCTTCTTTCTTCGTTAACGCTTAAATGATCGAAACGTAAATGTGAAATCTATTTCATTTGTCCTAAAAATGACATTTATATGAAAAACGAACATTTCTAAAAAAAAAAAAAAAATACTCTTCAACAAACCAATTCATTTAAATCACACTGACAGACGTCGATAATGCATATACTTCGTAACGTAGTGGTAAACACGGTGGGTCTTGCGCCAAACCCTGCGCGATGGAGCGTTCGAATCAAAAAAGAAGCTTTTATTTTGTTTTTGTTTTTGTTTTTTTTTTCAAGTATATTAAAAGCATCAGTGAAAAATAAATTTAGTAAAATGTAAGGTAATTAAACACAGAATTAAATGTTTAAAAGATGATATAAATCATATACTTTTGAGAAATATAGCTTTCATGAACCTTTAGAATTGAATATTGTCTTTTCTCAGAGCGGAGGATTGTCCTCACCATGTACACATCCATTCTTTCTGAGTTCCCAGCAAAGGTCATTCAGGTTCAAAAAGCTACCGTTACCGTGGAAACCTGCAAAAGCAACGAATTTTGTCCGCAAGTGTTCTCTCTGGTCCCTTGAACATTCGACATTAAACTTTTTTTTATTTTAGTGATATGGAATTGTAGTTGTGCGATTCGCATTTAAAATTTTCAAATAATCGATCATTGCCATGGAAACCAGGAGAAAGTAAAAACTCTTCAACTTTAATTTCTAAATCAAAGTACTGAAAGGACTGATACGAGTTGTCCAAGCTTAGCTAATGGGTATTGATTTAGTGATACAAAAAATGAAAGTCTTGTCCAATTCGGCACGACATACGCTATTGCTTGCAATAGCAGACTTTCTAGTTATGATTAAACTTCTACTGAGACACATGCTGGGGTTCAAATTTTGCATCTCAGAATTTAAAACTGATAACCTTCGTAGAGTAGAATAAAAAACAATCATGTGCTATTTCCTTTACTTTAAGGCAGCAAAAGTTGTTAATTTGTCGATGCTATTATTATTGAATTGAACTGTCTCACTATGATTAAGAAAATGACCTAATTCAGCATCCATAATATACTAAAGAAGTAAATATCATGAAATCGAAAAATTTTTACTAAACAGGGTTTTTGCATCCATAGTAAACAGAGTCTCAAGGTTCAGATGAGATTGTATTCAATCATATTTTCCAATCTTATCCTTACGTAATGTAACATCATCAATAATTTAGTTTCCAGAACAACTATTGTGTCATTTTTGCAAATGATATTACTGGACCAGAATACTTATACTAACTTTAATAATCCTTTTCAGAAACGGTATAAGAAACACTAGGTAACTGTTCACCCAACATTATGCCCCTAACGTATATGCGTATTCTACAATGCATCTCTTGGTTCAATACTATTGCCAATTTACTCCCTTCCTTCCACTTACCGATAAATAAAGAACTCACTCGCCAGCGCTGGTCCAATGTATAGTTTCCGGCTTAATCAAAAACTCTCTTTATGGATGCTTTACAAACATTCGACAAAAGATGGGACAACAACACAAACTTTACAAAGGAATATTTTGAAGAAAAGTTGGCTAATGTTCGACTAACGTTTGGACAAGTTAGAATACTAATGTTGTCGTGTATTAAATAGAGGATTGACCTGGTAATTTTTGTCTGAGACAGAGGTCGTCTACTCGACTACAACAATTCGCCAAGCACAACCATTTACTTACGTTGACCCCAACATAGTCTTTCTTTCTTGGATATGTTCTTAGTATATGTAGGAATAATTGAGCTTTATGATACATTTTTCATGTTTATATGTTCATTGTATAGAGGCTGTTGCGACGGGTACCAGTTCTCTGCAGAGATCAATGATTGTATAAGTAAGTATTTTTTTTTACTCTAATGTATTAAAAATTAGTTTCAAAGTAAGTGCAAGTGCACATTAATGTACTTCAATTTCATCACTTTTAGTATTTAAATCTTAGCAAAATATTTTGTGTTGTGTTATCCGAGGACTTTGTTTTCATCACAGAGTGTGCTGACGGTTATATAGGACCTAATTGTGTGGTTCCTTATCCATCCCCTGCATACGGATTCCTTTGTCAGAAGGAATGTGAATGTAATGAATATTACTGCAATGTGACAAGTGGGTACCCTTTAGATTGTACAGACTTCAGAGACTGTTCATTTTTTACAATAGGTAAATGGTTGAAAGTCTTTGGCCAACCTACATTTCGATGTTTTGCAAGTGGTATACAGTACAGAGAATTCATTTTGATAAAAAAGGCATCAGCCCATAAAAAATATCAGTGTCCAGCAAGCATAAAAGAAATGGATTAACAGATTCAGCATTACCATTGAATGCTAAATTTTAATAACTATTTCGATTTCTTCTGCAAGCTTGTTGATAATTCCCATTGCACAACTTGCATTGATCTAGGTTTGAAAAAGCAATGATTTAGCATCAGAATAATATTTATAACAGATAGGATTATTAGTATTTAATCAACAAGCACATAGCGCATTTAAATCAGGAAACAAGTGTTAATTTCAATACGATTTGCTGTATTTAAAAAAAATGTTCGGTATCTATTCCTAAATGTATGTTGAGGACAGATT